ACTGTGGTCGAGGAAGAACATTTGTACACTCTTCTGTTGTATAAAAAAACTTACAGCTGCTGATGAAGTAAATTCAAAACGCAGTTGTTATTTACTCTATAAACCTCTTGTGTGTTAGTTACCAGTAGTCAAAGGCATTTGTCGATAGATACATGTCCCCTCCCTCTCCTTTTTTTGTTGTGCTAGTTCCCAGTGTCAAAGGCACTTGTCGATAGACGCTTGGCCTGTTTGTAGTTTGTCAGTTACCAGGTGTCAAAGGCACTTGTCAACAGACACTTGGTTTGTGTACTCACCTATTTGTGGTTGCAGGAGTCGAGTCCTAGCTCCTGTGTGTGTGTGTGTGTGTGTGTGTGTGTACTCACCTAATTGTGGTTGCAGGGGTCGAGACTCAGCTCCTGGCCCCGCCTCTTCACTGATTGCTATTAGGTCCTCTCTCTCTCTGCTTCCTGAGCTTTATCATACCTCTTCTTAAAACTATGTATGGTTCCTGCCTCCACTACTTCACTTGCTAGGCTATTCCACTTCCTGACGACTCTATGACTGAAGAAATACTTTCTAACGTCCCTGTGACTCGTCTGAGTCTTCAGCTTCCAGTTGTGACCCCTTGTTCCTGTGTCCCCTCTCTGGAACATTCTATCTCTGTCCACCTTGTCTATTCCCCGCAGTATCTTGTATATCGTTATCATGTCTCCCCTGACCCTTCTGTCCTCCAGTGTCGTCAGTCCGATTTCCCTCAACCTTTCCTCGTACGACATTCCCCTGAGCTCTGGGACTAGCCTTGTTGCAAACCTTTGTACTTTCTCTAACTTCTTGACGTGCTTGACCAGGTGTGGGTTCCAGACTGGTGCTGCATACTCCAGTATGGGCCTAACATACACAGTGTACAGTGTCTTGAACGATTCCTTATTAAGGTATCGGAACGCTATTCTCAGGTTTGCCAGGCGCCTGTATGCTGCAGCAGTTCTTTGGTTGATGTGAGCCTCCGGTGACGTGCTCGGTGTTATGGTCACCCCGAGGTCTTTCTCCCTGAGTGAGGTCTGTAGTCTTTGTCCACCTAGCCTATACTCTGTCTGCGGTCTTCTTTGCCCCTCCCCAATCTTCATGACTTTGCATTTGGCAGGATTGAATTCGAGAAGCCAGTTTCTGGACCACATGTCCAACCTGTCCAGGTCTCTTTGCAGTCCTGCCTCATCCTCATCCGATTTAATTCTTCTCATCAACTTCACATCATCTGCGAATAGGGACATTCAGAGTCTATTCCTTCCATCATGTCGTTCGCATATATTAAAAATAGCACTGGTCCTAGAACTGACCCCTGTGAGACCCCGCTCGTCACAGGCGCCCACTGTGATACCTCTTCACGTATATGACTCGTTGCTGCTTCCCTGTCAGGTATTCCTTGATTCATTGCAGTGCCCTCCCTGTTACATGCGCCTGATCCTCCAGCTTCTGCACTAATCTCTTGTGGGGAACTGTGTCAAAGGCCTTCCTGCAATCTAGGAAAACGCAATCAACCCACCCCTCTCTCGTGTCTTACTTCTGTTACCTTGTCATAAAACTCCAGGAGGTTTGTGATACAAGATTTGCCTTCCATGAACCCATGTTGGTTTTCATTTATAATCTTTGTGTGTGTGTGTGTGTGTGTGTTGTGTGTGTGTGTGTGTGTGTGTGTGTGTGTGTGTGTGTGTGTGTGTGTGTGTGTATGTGTGTGTGTGTATGTGTGTGTAATCTTCACTAGCCATGCTAAGTCAGCAGCGAGGGGTAAGGAGAGGGAAGAGGATGATAAGTTAATCAGATATAATCATGTCTGTTGCACTAAGGAAGTAGGAACATATTTACACGACGTGGCAATGATAGAACTTGGCAGACTCGCTTCCTTCCTCCCACACTCGTCCTTCCTCCCACACTCGTCTCTCCTCTCACCTCTTCTCCTCCTCCCCCTCTCTCTCTCTCTCTCTCTCTCTCTCTTCTCTCTCTCTCCCCTCTCCTCTCTCTCTCTCTCTCTCTCTCTCTCTCTCTCACACACACACATCTAGGTGAGGACACCCTGGCTGCCCACCACTCTCACTCGTCTACCAACCCTTGAACCTTTGCCAGAAATCTCTCTGAGTTTATATATCTTCGAAGGACTTCTTTGTATAGTGTATTATTGTTTTAATTTTCCATCCATATTGGATTTGTGTGTATAGCCAACTTGGTAATTTCAGATGATCCATTCTCACAACGACACACTTTAGCATTTTTTGTTTTGCTATGCACTTAAATATTTACTGTATGTATGTAACTAATGTGCGCCTGAATATGTCATAAGAAACGAGATGCAGGTCAGGTTATTTGCTAGACGAATATAAAAAAAAATTGCGTCACTCATATCACTAATTTGGGCATAGGTAAGCTGATAGCTGCTGCCGTAGTTCGCCATAGGGACACTCGAGCCCCTGAATCAAGCATGCGCAAACTAGAGGTCGCTGCTACTAGTATGGCCATGGTTACCACACCTTCATGCGTGTTCCTCGAGAAACTGTCATGCCTCAGCCCAGGCTCCCCGCCACAGGCCCGACATAAGTGAATATGCCATCTTATGCAAAGGCCTATTTCACGGGGTTTTTTTTCTTGGTATATATGATACAAATGAATCCACAGGGAGAAAATATCATGAAATAGTAAATCCATGTATGAGAAATAATGGAAGCTTGATCATTTTTCTAATAATTGCAAGATTTTTTTTTTACTTTATTTTATTGAGAGCATATCTTATACAGATATAATACATATATATGGTGTAACACTGTTGAGAACAATAATTACATACATAAATTATCACACACACACACACACACACACACCACACACACACACACACACACACACACACACACACACGTTGTTGGACACAGAAGAAACCCGTCACAGACAAAACAAAGAAGAAAGACCATCAATCACACTATACATCACTCAAGCCACCTATCAGTATATATAAGAAAAACACTGGAAATTATCACGTCTCACTTCTACATAAGTGTAACTTACAGCTGACAAAAAAAACACTCATGGAGGTGTAAATACAGAAAACATCACACATATATCATTGTATAAAGAAAAACACATTCCTAATAAATACTCCTTTATTGGTAGTAAGTCATACAGAAGTATTTGTATCCGTCTGAGGTACACACACCTCCGCCTGAGGTACACACACCTCCGCCTGAGGTACACACACCTCCGCCTGAGGTACACACACCTCCGCCTGAGGTACACACACCTCCGCCTGAGGTACACACACCTCCGCCTGAGGTACACACACCTCCGCCAAATACACTGGCCACAATTACCGAATTATCATATTGTTGTACACATACACTGATACATCATCATGTACAGTAAATGCTGTCAACAAATCAGTTACACATCACAGGCTTCCATAACCTAATACGATCACATAAATAAAAACTACTCTATCACAACCTATTCATTACACAAAAGTCAATGTGCAAAACAAAGGTGTATACAAGAGACACTAGCAAGGTGCAAATTTAGTCTCTCCGACACTCCTTACCCCCCCCTCTTATTCCCCCCCCCCATTTGGGCAACCGCCCACTTTTTTAATTGGTCTCGTCTACTTGTTTCTCTATTACTGTAGATGCACACGTAAAGTCCCCACACCATCTACTTCCCGTACGTCCAGAGTGACTTTGGCTATTATGGCAACACTGTTTAGGTTTGTCTTGATATAATACCCCCTTCATGTCTTTCCGTCTGCCTTGTGGTTTAGATCAAGAGGCCATATTGGTTGTTAATATACTGTCAAAGATGCACTCGAGTTTGGAGATGGAGACAAGGAGATTACACCAGTACAAATGGTCCGAGGGTGGGGTGAGTGCTGTGGGAAATAGTAATGACAACGAAATAAAAATTCTCGCCGAAGGAGCTCCTTCGGCTAGGAGGAAAGCTCTGTCCTTCCCGGACACATTCTCAAACCATGTGGAGACGATTTTCTCCTCTATGGGACTATCCCAGTGGAACTGTTTGTGAGTTTTATGGAAAGCTCGTCTTAATGTAAACAGTAGACAGCAGAAGTGTCCCACTTCCTAGCTCTTACAGTAGAGCACTTTCGTGACTATCGCATTAAGGAACTCGAATGAGGGTACAAACCCCAGAAAACAGGTTTGCACAAGCAGTTAGGTACTCTATGAGAAAAGGCCAGACACTGTGAGCTTTGAAATCCAGTATTCATTGTTCCATAATCTTTATGCCATTCATTTTGTCATCCAAGTTTATAAACGCGGTGTGTTACCGTTACACGGTTCATTTATAGACTAATAGTTGTTATACTCAGTCGGCTTATTTAGACCTATCTAAGGTATGCTATCATTCCACTACCTCCCAAGGATACGACTCACAACGTTCGTTTTCTTACACCTCTCGTGCCTCCACACGCAGCAGATCATATAACAGGCACTTGTGTGTTAGAAGACTCAACGTTGGGGTCATCTAATGAAAATTACTATGCAAATAAGTTAGAAACTCAGGGCCAGAGTTGTGAGGGCTCCAGGGCAAGTAACTTGTCAAATTATACTGGATGCTGATGAATAAATAAGCACAACACTATGATTGGAACAATACACAAATATCCCGTACGCAGGAGACCAAAACGTCGTCATAAATTTCGGTCCTCTACGTGCGGTTATTTGTATACTTTATATTGGTATTATTGTATAGCGTATCAGCAGGTATTAATCTGTTTTCCGTACATATGATATGAAATGCAAAACAAACGTTACTTCGGAAATATTAATGAAATGTATTCATATTGCATAGATCTGCAGTGTAGCGGATTCTCTCTGTGTGTGGGTCCCCGGGCCCTCATACCATTGCTAATGTGTAAGACCTCTAGATATATTCATAATTTCCTCGCCAGAATACCGAACCCAGGTTCCGATTTTTACGTGTAAATCTTACGCTATGCCAGTATCACTTACGAATTGCTGTTTTCGTTGCAGATTCGTCTACGCGTGCTGGCTCACATACGACCGAGCGATTCCGGGGAGAAGGTCGACGATCATCCACCTACTTACGACGAAGTGATGAAGACCGAAGCTCCTCCTCCGGCTTACTTTACCGTCGTCAGTGAGACTGTCAAACTGGCTACTCTTCCGTCTCTAGTGTCCTCGCACGGCGCTCCACTCACTCCTGCCTTTGTGACCTCACTAAGCGACCAGTTGCAGCAGAGTGTGGGCGCAGCGGCCAGGGAATACCTGCTGTGTCGCCCTCCTGCTTACCAGAGCCCTAAGCACTTGCGTAATATATCATCTATGATCTTGCCCACTTTGCATGAAGAGCGAGTTAACACTGACACGGCCGTGACCGCCACTGCCGCCGCTATAGCCACGGTCACATATGTAGGAGGTATTGAAGAGTCGGAAACGTTAGAAGATCCTATAAGAGGCCCCATAGTTAAACACCTGCAGTCAACAACAACAGCCACACTGGACGCAACTCCGTGTTCTTCCTCAACAACAAGAGCCGTCACAGATCAAAATACTGACCCTGAACTTGAGACACTATCTTCCCTTCCAAGTTCTTAATTGTTTATATGATAAATGACTGAATTTATTATGTATGTTGCGGGTGATGACAAATGTACAAACGTTAAGTAGGTTGCGACTACGTACAAATATGTGCCCTGTTATTGCTACATAGTCATGAGCTCAGTGGCAATATTGTTACCATGTAGCATTAAGTATTTTGAAATATTATTTGTGCCTATTGCTCGTCCACTTTATAAGTGGAAAGTCGAGCAAATATTCCAGTGTGATATGTATGTTAATATTTCTATCTATTTTAGCCTTAAGGACGTCTGTTACCATTACAATATATATGAAAATATAAATAGTTTCTTCATTAACCACGTAAGTCGTCGACACGCTAGAGCGTCGGTCTGGAGTTTTATGACTCTGATCGCGGGTTCTATCCCCGCCCGTGGTATGGTTTTTATGAATGTGATGCGCATGTATCAGTAGAGCGAGTCTTTAATACCATAACTGTCACTGTAAGAAGAGACTTTATCAAGAGAATGCTTGATAAAAGCCCGTCTTAGGGAGAATCCATAAGTGTTTGGCGCATATATGTGACTGTAGCAACAAAAATATATAGGGTGATCAGTGTTACATGTGCTTTTCATTCCTAACTACGTCAGTGCCACATAATATGACTAGACTTCCAACAAATGGAAATTTCATATTATAGATGGTATAAAATATCAAAACATTGATGAGCAACACTGTGTGTCTTCATTAGCAAAACGTTTCTCCTGGGCTGCACGATTCATCACTTGAAAACAGTGATGAATTATAAATAGGAGAGAGTAAATGACGTGAACCGGTATTTTGATTATTATTATTATCAGAAATGAAGCGTTAAACCTACAGCGCAGTGAGGTATTGTGAGATAATCATTCTTCTAATCTTTGCCTTGGAGACTGACGAATGTATATATATAAACAAGAATTATGAGTCACTTAACTATAGACTTATCTTCCACCAAGACTGAGGGACAGAATTTCAGATTATCTCTCCATTTCGTCTAGTGTCTCCAGAATTATAATTAATCATTGTATTTGAATGATAAGCTGCAGCGAGGCGAAACTCATCAGTAAATGTGTGATATTTCAGCTGTGTCTTACTCATCAAATGGGAATTTCCTCGGGCATCTTCATTGCTCCTCCGCATTTTCAATGATTTTCGAGCATTTTTCATTGCTCTTCATGCACTTTTCATTGCCTAAGGGCACCTTCTATAATTAATCCTTCAACGTTACTGCTACTCCTTCCTTAACTCTCACTCTCTCAGATACACATGATATAATCCTATTTATTTTCCACACCGAAAATCTACCTCCTTGAGCTTTGTTTCTTTTATTTCCAGAACATCCACCTTCTTTTCATTCATAACATTCACAATAAACTCTTTTTTTATGATATGATTACATCTATTCACACTCATATGTCCCATCTTAAGATGTTGGGGTTACCGCCCCCAGTCTTTTACGGCACGCATGGCTTACGGAGGAAGAATTCTTCTCCACTTCTCATGGAGACGAAAATAAATAAGTATAAGTACAATAACTGTTAAGAATATAGAAGAAAATTCTGCGTGTACACATACATGTATGTGCATGTGTAGTATGAACTAAGTGTAAGTAGAAATAGCATTTTGACATTTTGACACAACCTTAATCTATATGACATTTTACAAAGGTTGATGAAGGACTATGTTCAACGAACACATCATGGAAGATTACTTGCCAGTCATACCGTCACACAGGATAATTCTCCTGGTATGCTTAATTACAAAGAATTGTCTTCCTATCTCAGTCTCACAAAGTGGCTTTCCTGCCATATTTCATCACGTAAGTAAGTAAGTAAGTAAGTAAGTTTATTCAGGTATACACAAATACAGTTACATAGAATTATCATACATAGCAGCATATGTGTAGAGAACCTAGGATCACACAAACAGGAGCATTTCGTAAGATCTAATGAGATTACGACATGTTCACACACAGAAGGGCTTTCCCCCAGATTATAGAAGAAACTGGGTTTCCTTATGCTTATCCCCAAGGATGGTTTCCCTGCATACACAGCACAGGAAAGAGTTACCTGGCCCAAGTACACACAGGTAAGGAGTTCAAATACACTAAGGTAGGCTCTACATTCAATACTCACTGGATGGCTGTTACTCCATAGATCAGGATAGAAACACTGGCAACACAAGGCACACACACAGGATCAAGAGACATTGGCACACCCAGCCCCAAGGATGTGAACTTGGCACCACAGGCAGCACAAGGATCAAGAGAACACTGGTACACAGGCAGCACAAGGATCAGTGAACATCTCAATCACAGACAGCAACAAGGATCAAGGAGAACATTGGCACCACCAGCAGCACCAAGGATCAAGAGAACACTGGCACCACCAAGGACAGCACCAAGGATCAAAGAAAATTTGGCAGCACCAGGCAGCACAGGATCAAGAAACATTGCACCACCAGCAGCACCAAGGATCAAGGAACACTGCCAGGCAGCACAAGGATCAAGAGAACACTGGCACCCCAGGCAGCACCAAGGATCAGAGAACACTGGCTACCACCAGGCACACCAAGGATCAAGAGAACACTGGCACCACCAGGCAGCACCAAGGATCAAGAGAACACTGGCACCACCAGGCAGCACCAAGGATCAAGAGAACAATGGCACACCAGGCAGCACCAAGGATCAAGAGAACATTGGCACCACCAGGCAGCACCAAGGATCAAGAGAACACTTGGCACCACCAGGCAGCACCAAGGATCAAGAGAACACTGGCCCACAGGCAGCACCAAGGATCAAGAGAAACATGCACCACCAGGCAGCACAAGGATCAAGAGAACACTGACCAAGCAGCACCAAGGATCAAGAGAACACTGGCCACCAGGCAGCCCCAAGGATCAAGAGAACATTGGCACCACCAGGCAGAAACCAAGGATCAAGAGAACACTGGCACCACCAGGCAGCACCAAGGATCAAGAGAACACTGGTACCACCAGGCAGCACCAAGGATCAAGAGAACACTGGCACCACAGCAGCACAAGGATCAAGAAACATTGGCACCACCAGGCAGCACCAAGGATCAAGAGAACTTGGCACCACCAGCAGCACCAAGGATCAAGAGAACATTGGACCACCAGGCAGCACCAAGGATCAGAGAACAATGGCACCACAGGCAGCACCAAGGATCAAGAGAACACTGGCACCACCAGGCAGCACCAAGGATCAAGAGAACACTGGTACCACCAGGCAGCACCAAGGATCAAGAGAACACTGGCACCACCAGGATCAAAGAAGAAACACTGGCCACCAGCACACCAGGTCAAGAGAACACTGGCACCACCAGGCAGCACCAAGGATCCGAGAACATTGGACACCACCAGCAGCACCAAGGATCAAGAGAACACTGGCACCACCAGGCAGCACCAAGGATCAAGAGAACATTGGCACCACCAGGCAGCACCAAGGATCAAGAGAACACTGGCACCACCAGGCAGCACCAAGGATCAAGAGAACACTGGCACCACAGGCAGCACCAGGATCAAGAGATCCCCACTGGCACACCAAGATCAAGAGAACACTGCACCACCAGCAGCACCAAGGATCAAGAGACATGGCACCCCCAGGCAGCACCAAGATCAAGAGAACACTGGCACCACCAGGCAGCACCAAGGATCCAGAGAACACTGGCACCACCAGGCAGCACCAAGAATCAAGAGAACACTGGCACCACCAGGCAGCACCAAGGATCAAGAGAACACTGGCACCACCAGGCAGCACCAAGGATCAAGAGAACACTGGCACCACCAGGCAGCACCAAGGATCAAGAGAACACTAGCACCACCAGGCAGCACCAAGGATCAAGAGAACACTGGCACCACCAGGCAGCACAAGATCAAGAGAACACTGGCACCACCAGGCAGCACAAGGATCAAGAGAACACTGGCACCACCAGGCAGCACAAAGGATCAAGAGAACACTGCACCACCAGGCAGCACCAAGGTCAAGAGAACACTGGCACCACCCAGGCAGCATCAAGGATCAGAGAACACTGGCACCACAGGCAGCACCAAGGATCAAGAGAACAACTGGCACCACCAGGCAGCACCAAGGATCAAGAGAACACTGCACCACCAGGCAGCACCAGGATCAAGAGAACACTGGCACCACCAGGCAGCAACAAGGATCAAGAGAGCACTGGCACCACCAGGCAGCACCAAGGATCAAGAGAACACTGGCACCACCAGGCAGCACCAAGGATCAAGAGAACACTGGCACCACCAGGCAGCACCAAGGATCAAGAGAACACTGGCACCACCAGGCAGCATCAAGGATCAAGAGAACACTGGCACCACCAGCAGCACAAGGATCAAGAGAAACGGGGCACCACCAGGCAGCACCAAGGATCACGAGAACACTGGCACCACCAGGCAGCACAAGGATCAGAGAACACTGGCACCACCAGGCAGCACAAAGGATCAAGAGACACTGGCCCACCAGGCAGCACAAGGATCAAGAGAACACTGGCCCCACCAGGCAGCACCAAGGATCAAGAGAGCACTGGACCCCAGGCAGCACCAAGGATCAAGAGAAACTGGCACCACCAGACAGCACCAAGGATCAGAGAACACTGGCACCACGGCAGCACAAGGATCAAGAGAAAACTGGCACCACCAGGCAGCACAAGGATCGGGAAACACTGGCACACCAGGCAGCACCATGGATCAAGAGAGCACTGGCACTCCAGGCAGCACAAGGATCAAGAGAACATTGGCACCACCAGGCAGCACCAATGATCAAGAGAACACTGGCACCCAGCAGCACCAAGGATCAAGAGAACACTGCACCACCAGGCAGCACCAAGGATCCGAGAACACTGGCACCACGGCAGCACACAATGATCAAGAGGCACTGGCACCTCCAGGCAGCAACAAGGACCCAAGAGAACACTGGCACCACCAGGCAGCACCATGGATCAAGAGAGCACTGGACCTCCAGGCAGCAACAAGGATCAAGAGAACATTGGCACCCAGCAGCACAAGGATCAAGAGAACATTGGCACCACCAGGCAGCACCAAGGATCAAGAGAAGACACGTGGCACCACCAGGCAGCACCAAGGATCCGGAGAACACTGGCACCACCAGGCAGCACCAAGGATCAAGAGAGCACTGGCACCTCCAGGCAGCAACAAGGATCAAGAGAACACTGGCACCACCAGGCAGCACCAAGGATCAAGAGAAAATGGCACCACCAGGCAGCCCCAGGATCCAGAGAACACGGCCCACGGCCCCCAAAGGGATCAA